TTCTGCTGTTCCATGACCCCTTACTCCTTCTCATCCCGTCTTCCTACTTTCATCTCCTCTCTTCCCATTCCTCTTTCCCCAGTCCTTGAATCCTTAGTCTTTCCCTCAGTTTCAGTAAATTATTTGACCGGATTTGACTGACCGGAGAGAAGAAAGATAGCTGTCACTCTTAAGCAAAACTGTACTTCTCTGATTTCTCTTATATTTACTTCCATATTTGACTGTTTGTTTTGTGGAATGGATGTTGTGCTGTTCCATGACCACCTACTCCTTCTCATCCCATCTTCCTGCTCTTTCATATCCTCTCTTCCCAGTCCATGTTTTCTTACAGACTTTCCTTATCTGGCTTCACTAAGTTACCCTTGATTGTGTGTGTGTCCCGTGATGGACTGGCATCCCGTCTGGGGTGTCCCCCATACTACCCTTCGATGTACTGGCATGCCGTCCAGGGAGTCCCCTCGTCCTACCCTGTGTTGGACAGGCATCCCATCCAGGGTGGCCCCTGCCTCGTGCCCTATGATGTACTGGTATCCAGTCCAGGGAGTCCCCTCGTCCTACCCTGTGTTGGACTGGCATCCCGTCCAGGGTGTCCCCCTGTCCTACCCTGTGTTGGACTGGCATCCCGTCCAGGGTGTCCCCCTGTCCTACCCTGTGTTGTACAGGCATCCTGTCCAGGATGGCCCCCTGTCTTACCCTGTGATACACTGGCATCCCGTCCAGGGTGTCCCTCCGTCCTACCCTGTGTTGTACAGGCATCCTGTCCAGGATGGTCCCCTGTCTTACCCTGTGATACACTGGCATCCTGCCCAGGGTGTCCTCTGCCTTGTGCCCTGTGATGGACTGGCATCCCGCCTAGGACGTCCTCCCGTCCTACCCTGTGTTGGACTGGCATCCCGTCCAGGGTGTCACCTTCCTTGTCTCGTCTGCTTCCTGGGATATGTTCAAGATTCTCCACGACACTATACTGCAAGGTTGAAAACTGGATTTATGTAAAACTTGAATTCAGTGCGTTTGTTTAATCTTCAGTAGACTATGTGTTCAAGGTGCAACTGGGAATTTGTGATTAGTTTGTTAAATGCTGCCATCTTGTGGAAAAACGTAAAAGCAATAAAGTTAAAGTAATACTGCGTTTGTAAAATACTGCTTAGTACCTTAAGGGCGCTTTTCCACCGCACAAAGTACGGTAACTCACTGACGGTAACTCACCCCCGCAGTTAAGTCTGCATTATCCAACCACTTCATGCCTATGTACACCTCATTATATATAAATCCAGGAAATGTTTTGTTTTAAAATGTCTATTAAAATGAAGTAAAGATATTTTGGAGGAGTTCGTGACTGACAAGTGAAAACTATTTCAAAAAATGAAAGAAACTTGTACTAAAAATCTTTAAGCAGAAGTACAATGATCACTGGCGGTTATTTTGGCCGCGCGGGCAGGAACACGTTCAACAAGCTCACGCGGTTTTCCCGCTCCCTCCACCTCTGAGGAGAAAGTGCGCGTTCAAAGCAAGAAGTGAGCGGAAAGACCTTCGGGGGAGGCAAAAAATAGAGATTATGAGATAGAGATTATGAGAGTATTTGGTGACATATCGTTTGAAAATAAATACCCGACTGTTCCTTGCTTCTGTAGGTGGATTTCACCCGGCGGACCTGCTCTGGTAATGTAAGACAGGAGCTTCCGTTTCTGCGTCTCGAATGAACTCTGCTCCGTACGGTCCTTTAATCACCTGTAGGGAGCGTCCTAGTAGTAAAACTGGAACCTGTATCTAAGTTAACAAACACAGGCTTATTCCAATAGCCCACCATTTATAAAGCACCATACAGTAGGGTAACCATACGTACTATTTTCCCGGATACTTTTTTGGGGTGCTAAAAACACATGAAATTGCCAGGATTTCGCTTTGTTCCATGCTGCCATTTGTTTTCTACCGTCAGAATACTTAATGTGCGCATATTTGCATTGCTGTGGCGCATCTCTATGCATCATGCTCCTGGGAAGTCAAATCACTCCATCGTGTCCCATCATCGTTGTATTTGGAATTAGTTAGATTTCATTCGAGGGTTTCATTCTGACTATGCAGAGTTTGCATGTTCCCCTGTGTTTATATGGGATATCTCTTTAAATTGTTCATAGTGGGTACCCAGTTACAGATTGGTGTCCCATCTAGGCTGTTACCCGGCCTGTATTTTCTGGGATATTCTTCAGGTTCATGACAAACATTGTAGCTAAACCTGTGCCTCAAGGTTTAAAAAAAAAAAAAATTTTCATGTGGTTTGTGGGAAGCTTGATTCACAGATTGCAGTGAATGAATAGCAGAATTACTATAGTCGGATTAAATTAAATGCTTCATAACTTCTCAATTGAGGAATGTCAATCTGGTCTATTGAACGCACAGTCCAGGCAAGGTAGGTATGGATTACTGCCATTCCTGCCCCCATTGGTGCCCTTGTTGAGAATCCCAATGCATGGCTGGTGGGATTGAGCGAGTCCGCATTTGGGGGGGATCTTCCCTGAATATTTCACTCAACTCTGTAGTTAAGCATGCCTACCTTGTACTTTTCTACAGACTAATCAGATCTCACTTACCATACTAAAGTACACACTGGCAATATTTGATCTGTGTTCCCCTTCTTTACAGTCCACCATGTTCATTACTCATTCAGGCTGTATGAGGGATATACACGTAAAAGCAAGTTTTCCTACTGAAAATGTTTTGTTTGCCTGTTACTGTGTTAACATACTGTCAGTTACAATTTAATTTTGTGATAAATAGGACCAAGGTCAGTTCTGTGAAATCTCAGAAGCGGTGCTAAGTAGATTAACTGTTAATACATTTTATTTGAAGCAGTAAATGCAGTGTCTTACAGTAGACAACAATATCAGTAGCTCTTTATTTGTACTAATGATTTGAGGAAGACATTAAAACCTCAAAAGTATAGCTGTAAACTTTGAAATACAATTAAACAGTTTCCATTTTATAGCCTTCTATTCAAAGGAGGGTTAGGGTTAAGTGGCAGTTAAACATAGTGTTTTGTGTCTGATATTTCTAATAAGTGAAAACAAGTGGGTTTGGTAGAGCAATGAAAAAAGACCTTACAAGCCTATAAGACAGGTGTCGGCAACCCAGATCCTGGAGTACTGGTATCCAGCAGATTTTTTTCCTTATGAGTTACTATCTGCCTGAGATTAGGTGTGGTTCATCAGAGACCAGAGAAGAGAAGAGGTAAGGAGTGCATGCTGGATGTTGGAGGACCTGCTTGCAGGGCTGGATGTAGGTCAATGTCGTACCCACCATGGGCCTTGCTCAAGGGCGCAGTGGAGTAGAATCACTCCTGGCATTCATGGGACCTTCCAATTGCCAGCTCAGATCCCTAGCCTCAGAGCGGCCACTCTGCCCCTATCAGAGACCTGGTAGGATAGAAAAACTGTATACAGGCACTCCAGGGTTAGGGTTGGCTACCCATGCTGTAAGCTGATCTCTGACCAGCTGGTCCAGACAGTTTCAATATCTATGGGTCCCAGACTCACCTGTCTGACCAAGAAGTGCTTTTTGTTTTTGTGGCTCACAAACAGTGACCATGATTTGACTGTATATGGACCTGGTTATCTACTTAACAATCTATAATTAATTTAATTAGATCAACAAATCTAGCACATAAAGGGATTTCACAAAGTACTGTTCTTCTACTGTTTCATACCTCCTCATCGTGTCTATCAGTGATATCAAGACTGGTTGCCAATATTATTTCTGATGAATAGCCAAACTTCTTTTGAAAAAGGGGTATTTAATTTCTTGGGCAGAAGTATACTTGACTCCTGAACTGGTTTATGCCTATTGCAGCCTATTAGTATAAAAAGTGTAATGTGTGTAACTCACTGAAACTAAACAGATGGTAGCTCAGTAAAATCAAACGAATGATGAATTAAGTTACAGTGATGTGCAGAGGGAACATTAGAGAATCGGGGGTCTGTTATAAGGTAACGGTCCATTTAGGGAAGTCATCCTCTAGAATTCCCTTGCAGATAGGAGGTGGTGGTCGTCCTCTAATACCCACATGTGTGGAACCACACGTGCACGGCAGGTATCCCTTTTCAAGGCTTTAAGCTCAACAAGGGAAGACTCTCCCACCCACCTAGTTGGAGCAATCAACACTTGTGAGCCATGTCTTGTGGCCAACGATGAGGAAACTATGGTTTCCACTGGCCTGTGTGGTGCTGATCACCCCCTGTTGGTTCATGGCAGCTTCCCAAAATGTTATTGTGTCATTCTCCCATGGAGAAATGAATGTCAAACCCTTAGCACTGTATAAATGGTATAGGTTAAAACATCAACACATCTCTCTCCATATCAGTGTTGGAAAAATTTGAAAATGGTTGAAACAGGCCATAATCCGGTATAGAAGGACAGCAAAATCATACAGGCCTATGACCTGACCAGGATAAGCGGTTCGAAGATGGGTGGATGGATGAAAGCACACAGGTAATGAATATCTTTTAAAACATAAAAAGCCAGATCTTGGGTTTTTCTGAGGGTTTTGCTTAATTATTAACTGAAAGCGTGACCATAATCATAAGCCCATAATCTGTCGCCTCTCTGTCATTCCTTCCCAAATGTCAAACTGATGGTGTCTGGATAGCGTCTGCTGACCGGAAGAATTGTCACACAGGCACGGGACAATGCACACTTTGTGCAGAACTGGCTGAGGAGGAGAGGGAGTGAAACGGCAGGAATCTGAGGGCAGGAGAAAAGCGTGTATTGTATTGCACTCTGAGGGAAAGTTGTGGAAATGCAAAGGTGTGCAGATAAACCTGGAATGAGATGTGCAGTGACACAGCTGTAAAGCCCGTCTCGCAGACGGCAGATATGAAAGGTAAATCGATAATCTTTCTTTAAAGAAGGAGCTCCCACAAAGCTGTACTGTGTACAGGGGAGGCACCCAGGCCATAATCTCTACCCCTCCTTATCTCTCTCCCTGTTTACCTGTTACGTTTCTGTGGTAACGTCTCTCACCGTCAGCCACATAGGCTTGCCGGTCTAATTGAGGGTCTGCACTGAGCAATGCATCAGCCCCTGACTCTCACTTTTTCGAAAACAGGAAGTAGTTCTCTGCTGATGGAGATTGTTCTTGGTGGTGGGTTATTTCTGAGACCGTGGAAATATTCAGACGGCTGGCCACTTCCTCGTGACCGCTAACTGTTCGTCTGAGATAGAGCCCTTCTGAAGCACCACCTTGCTGGAGTTAGAAGTGTGACAGGCCTCTTCCCCCGTTCCACTTATGCCGGTGGAGTTTTCCAATATATTTCCCCTGTTCAAATAACTATTACATGATTCAGATAATCAGCTCATAAAACTTTGTGCTAATTATGCATAGAATAATTTCTTGAATTTAGATTACAATATGCATCTTATTCTAAAGCATTTAAATATGTTTCATGCATACTGAAGGAGTTATTTTTATTCTCTCTATGTATTATTATTATTAATAATAATAACAACAACAACAATAATAATAATAATAATTATTATTATAGAAAAAGTGTTGGAATCCGAATGATGCTGCATTTTTTTGCACATGTTTTTGTTTGTTGTCATGGTTACATTTTCTGGGTGATGTCAGTCAAAAACTTTTTCTTTACACAAGCAAATGGGGAGGCAAAGGTCGTGGTGTAGGGCTGCTGTAATCAGGGAAATGAAAGGGTGAGAGAGTGACGCACATGAGATGTGTCAGTTCGAAACTCGGGTCCCCTGAGTTCTCTAAATGAGGGCCAAAGACACTTGCTGCATGTTGTAAAATATACATTTTATTGCAAAAAGAAATGAAAAAGAACCATAGCATGACATGGGAAATTTGCTGAGGAGATTGCCTGCTGTTCTCATAAAGCATCTTTGGTACATGAAAGGTATTTCAGTAAAAAGGAAAATGCACTCCTGGACAATGCTGGTGTAATGCGAGCGATGGCTCTCCTGTCGTGGCATCACAGCAGAATGTCCTGTATAAACTTTGTAAAGATGCTTATAAACACCAGCTGCTAAAAGTGTTAAACATGTGTATAATAAGCTTTTGATTTCTGGTAAAATGTGAAATGTATAAAGGAGACTGTAGAAGAAGGGACTTGCTTTCTAGGGAGAACCAGCTGGCTCTCTTCTTGCTGTGCTTTCCTCTCGATATTCGTTTGTTGTCGCATCTGTTTGTACAGCATGGATCCCTCTGAGGACTGGGGGCTTTGGCTTAGTAGGTGGAATACCTGTAATGTCCCCAGCGCCCCCTAGTGGCGCGGGGCTCCTGTTCCTGCTGAACTGAGCCAGCTCCGGTGAGACGCTGATTATCAGCGCAGCAGGCACGGGAGACGAGCCCATGAGGGACTGGAAGGCTGCTACCAAGGGCTTTGCGGGAGCTGTGAGAGCCTGCAGGTGCTGGCTAGCTGAGAGCCCCATCACACAAATGGGGTGGTAAGACCCAAGTACAATGCAGTGCACTTTACACACTGTCTGTGTACACACACACATGCTAACAGGGATGGATGTTTATTGAGAGTCCATGGAAATGTTTTCCCTGTGGAGGACTACGATTGTGTATAAAGGTACAGGCTGCAGGACAGAGGGAGAGATGGCCTATGGTTGAAGGTAAAAAACCAGACAGCCAGATTTCCTCTGGCCAGTGCTAGGGTGGCATAGTAGAGCAGTATAGGGTTAAGCCGGCCTTCTGGATACAGCTGGGCAGGGGAAGGCCCTAATGCAGCAGAACTTAACCACTGTGAACATGGATGGAGAGCACAGTGTTCACATGTGCGCTAAGTCCTGATGCAGATGAGGTCCGCGGCGCTCCTTCCCTCTTCTCGGCCGGCCAGTGAGTTTCACACACCTGCCCGCTGCTCACTTCATGTCAGCCATTGGAAATCCCTGGCAATGTGATTCAGTCTCTAATCCCAAAATCACTCTGCCAGGAATTCCCCTGGCCAGCAGTACGGATGCTGGAGGGGTGGGGGGCGGGTTCCAGGATCAAGTTGCTCTTTTGTGCCATGACTTGGGTGGTCGGGGGAAGGGGGGCGCCAGAGAATGGCAACAGCGGCAACTTCTAAAGGTGTCGGTCCAGGCGTGCTCATAATTAGTAATAACAAACCAGAACAAACACACTCTGGCTAAATGGAAGGGGACCCGAACTCGGGTCGTTTGACAATCTTTAATCCGTCTGTTTGCTCTTTTGTTTGCTCACCAGTTTCTTTTTTTTCCCAGGCCGTGGTCAGTCAGTATCCTCCTCTTCCTTTTATTTCCCACTCAGACTGTCTGGTAGCCCCCTATGGCCTCATGAAGTCAGCATTTCAGTTACAGAAGCCTAGGAGCGGCCAAGCAGGGCCACCCCCGAGCCCAGCAGCACCAGCCACTGCCGATACCTTTGAGCTACACGTTTGCTTACAGGTATGGGTCCAGCAGGTGGGCCTCACTAGCCGCTCAAAGTCTCACCTCCTTGTGCTCGCTCCAGCTTTCCTGTTTGCAGCATGTCACTCACCCACGCATGTAACAGCCAAAAAGTGCGCCCCCTCATGGTCTGGAGAATGACGTGCAAGTCAGGATGCGCGTCTGGTTGGTTAAAAGTGTCCTGTGAGCTTGACTGTATGGCTATAATCTTGTGGCCACGATAATAAAAATGTGGAATTGTTATGAAATATGTTGGGAATATAATGGTTCCTACTCATACTTACATGGTATAGTAAGTAACAAGCTACCAAATATCAATACACATACGTATGTTTGCATGAACGTTTTTCAAATAAGTGACATCTTACATCTGGGGAAATTCCAGACCTCGGCTAACTTCCTCCACAGGCTAGGGTCCCTTTTTCAGAGGGAAAATGGAGGAGCTCTCACTCATAGCAAGCTTTATATGAGACCGGCGGAGTTTATGTCGACATGTGAGTGGGGTTCACTGCTTAGAACTGTTCTGCAGGCTTGTTAGATTTGGATCCCCAGATTGTGAGTTGAGACTCGACATGTTGGCTGTTTGTTCATTGGCTTGCTGCCATTGCGACGTTTTTGGGTTTTGGGGTATCCATTGAAACATGGGAGGAAATAGCAGATCGCTATGGCCCTACTGCCTGTCTGCTTTGTTTTCTCTGCCTGGTGTTATTCACTGCTGGGCAGAATGTGGCTACTGCCTCTCCTGGTTTCTTCTCGCTTCCAGTTCCCCCTCCCCTCTAAACATGCCCCTGATCACCCATGCCCATGAAGTCATTCAAAACTTTGCCCATTTTACTGGAAATGCGTTATGCTGTCTTGGTGTGTCTCTCTATGCTGCCTGAATGTATCTCACCTGCCCTAGGGGTGATGCTGTCTGAGTGTGTCTCTTCTATTGAAGGGGCTTTGCTGCCTGAGTGTGTCTCCTGTCATATGGG